TAGTTGAGTGCTCTAGCTTGCATGATGCCCGTTTGAGTTCACGTGTATGATCAGAGTACCAGGGGGCAGGTTTCTTATCTCTATGCTTTATCTTCTTAAGTGGAGCTACAAAATCTAGTGTGCTACGAAGGGATTTTTCCATGTTTGCAGTTGCCTGTTCAAGTTCATTTATACATGATGCTTCAGATGTAAGGCTGAAGGACTGTGGAAGTTGTTTCATAAATGTTGTTGTAGTTAGTGAGGCAATGGAATGTCTGATTCTGTACTTTGGAGCTGTGGTCAACGGGAGGCTAGATTGGATTTCAAATGTTAACAAGTAATGATCTGAGAGCAGAGGACTCTGAGGCATAATAGATACATGTTCCACCAGGATGATATGACTAATAATCAAATCAAGGGTATGGTTACAGGTATGAGTAGGCCCGACTACATTCTGACATACACCTAGACAGCCAAGAATAGCTGCAAACGCTATTTTCAAAGGATCACTATCTTTCTCCAGGTGTCTCAGCGGGAGTTTCACTGAGTGGGGAGAACCTGTTGGAAACGCGAATGGGTGAATGGTGCCGGTGTGAGTTAGAGTTGGATTTACGGCTATGCCGCCGGGTAGCCACCCACTCGCCTTGCTGCGAAGGCTCTGCTGCTGGAGCGGGGGGTGACTTAATAGCTATGGCGGACATATCCGGAGCTGCTAACACTGAATCAATAAAACTCTCATTCTCCTGAATGTCCCGTAACGTCCGGATACGTCCCTCTAAAACTACAACAACAACAACAACAAATTTATTTTTGTATAGCGCATTATCACAACATTACATCTTCTCAAAGAGCTCTACACCATCCCCACCCAAAGCCCCCAGTGAGTAAGCCATAGGCGACAGTGGCATGGAAAAACTCCCTAGAAGTAAGAAACCTTGGGAGGGACCAGACTCAAAGGGGGAACCCATCCTCCAAGGGCCGGCAGGGAGAGTCAGATACAGTAAATTTTGAGAACTACAATCTTCTCCATCAGCCTAGCGACTAACTGACACTTCTCACATGTAAACGTACCGCTAATGACTGGAGAAGAATAACTAAACATATTGCACTCAGAACACGGAACAGGAGACATGGCGTTGTACTTACGTGAAACGGGAAGACTGTTGGAAGCTGGAAGCACCTTTTTAATTTAATGGAGATCGTGGGTCGGTTGCTTGCGAAGGTGATTAATCTGTCAGGGTTTGGAAATTATCGAAATACTAATAAGCTTGCGAAGATTTTTTCGGATGACTTAATTCTAATTATTATTTAGGTGATATCTATAGTTTTAAAGTTTGCGCGGTAGCAACCATTTTCGCTCTCGCAGCCTATTGTGAGCTTCTCAGATCAAACTGGTTTACTGGAACTCAGTTCTAATGGGAAAGGGAAATACCTCCAGCTCCAGATGTCACCATGGAAATCCCAGTGGGAGAACCTGAAGTTAAGAGAATTCAGACACTGAGTATACAGACCATCAAGCATGGAAGTCTGTTAGACCGCCTGTCAAAATTTTCTTCCAGGTATAAAGCTACGCAAGCTGTCGCACGGCTCCTCCATTGGGTCAAGGGTTATAAGTCAGCAGGTCACAGCACAGTTCAGGAACGAGAAAATGCACAGCACATTATCATAAGAGATTTGCAGAGACAAGTGTATCCAGAGATTAAGCTGCTCAGCAAGGAGACCCAGCTCCCATCTCAGAGTAAACTGTATGAAGTAGATGCCTTTCTTGATCAGGATGGGATTCTTAAGCTGGGAGGAAGACTGAAAAATGCACTTATCCCTACTTTGCAAAAACATCATGTGATCATTCCAAAGGATCACCACATTACTAGGATGATAATAGCTCTTTTTCATGAGAAGGTCCAACATCAAGGAAGGGGTCTTACTGTTAATGAGAAGATCAAATGGATTCTGGATTCCCTGAATCAACAGAGCTGTTGCAGCACATGTGTACCAGTGAGTTAAATGTTGGAAGCTCAGGAGAACTGCTGAGGAGCAGCGCATGGCAGATCTGCCATCAGTGCGAGTAAATCCATCACCACTGTTCACGTATTGTGGAAGGAATTGTTCCGGCCTGTTCTTAAGCAAACAAGGTGCATAAACAATATGGGCTCATCTTCACATGTCTATGCTGTCATGCTATCCACAAAGAAATGTTGGATGATATGTCAACAGACGCCTTCATTAATGGCCATCGTTGTTTTATTGCTGTAAGAGGAGCAGTGCGTCAGATTAGATGCAATTTCATTGGAGCAAAACATGAACTGAATGAAACTTTAAAGCAAGTATATGTCGCCTGACTACATACTTGGCTGAGAGGCAGTGCAACTTTGTCATGAATGCCCCCCATTCCAGTCATGTACGTTGCGTTTGGGAGGCAGATTTGAACAAGAAATGTAATTCATTCCACTCTTTCACTTTCATCAGGCAGGATAGACGATGCCTCCCTTCGGACGTTTCTCTATGAGACAATGACTATTGTGTACAGTTGTCCACTCACAGTGGATAACTTGAGTGATCCAGACAGTCCATTACCACTGACTCCAAATCACCTGTTAACAATGAAATCTGTGACGTTCTTGCCGCCTCCTGGCAAATTTATCAGAGAGGATGCATATGCTCATAATTGGACGTGCGCGTCATGTCCAGTATCTCACAGAGCAATTCTGGAGCTGATGGAAAAGAGAATGTCTCTCAAATATTGTCACCAGACAATGCTGGCATACTCCAAAGAGGAACCTGAAGATTGATGATGTAGTCTTGGAAAAGGTAGAAGACCTACCATGGAATGAGTGGAGATTGGCCAAAGTTGTAGTGACGATGACCGATAAAGATGATCTTGAGAGAAGATTGAAGATTTGCTTTGGAGACCAAATGATGGGAAGGGAGAGAACTACCAGTTCAGAAGTTGATCCTGCTTCTGGAGACTGTTGAATTCTCCTCGTCATTAAACAAACGTCCCTCCCTACAGATATTTGCAGTGGATATACCGGTTAATTGAAATCAAAGATTGTTTTGTTGCAGTTTTACAATAATATACAGCACTGTCAACTAAAACATTTTAAAGTGACTCTCTTTGGTAGAAGGACTGTGTTATGTAAAATCCAAATCCAGTTACCTTTAGTAAGCCACTTAGTGTAAAGGTCATTTCGAGTTTAGAAATCATTCGTGCAGTGACGGTTCTAGGGGCGGGGCCACAGGGGCATTGGCCCCAGCTGAAATCTGATTGGCCCCCTGAAGTGTCCCTGTCCTGTCACTCATCTGTCCTTTGTGCAATTAGATGGATGCAATTCCAAGCCTAATGAGCTAATGAGCCAAATAGGAATGTCAAGCGTTAATAAAGCTTAAAGAAGAAGAAGAAGATTTGAACTATACTGTGGAGAAAGTTTTTCAACCGATAACCGTCTACGTTTTGAGGAGTTTGTTGGTAAGTCATAAATCCCTATTTACTCAAAGCTGTCAGTATCTGAAGTCTGACAAACATAAAATTAAAAAACAAAGCAAAAATTTGTTAACAGTAATAACTTAACTGAGGCCCTACTTATAAGGTGAGGAGGACACCTTAGTGCAAGTGGGGCAGAGGGGGGGTGCTAGCGATATTTCCACTAGCGCAAGGGGAAGTGAATAGGCGTGTAGGATGCCCATGATGTGACGAATGTTTAAGCAGCTCAAAAACCCGGACAATTTTAAATACCTGGCCTGACGCAATTTCAAGGTCTCAAAAAGAGGACATGTCCGGTCACCCTACCTACTTGTGTTTAGACATGAACATTAGACATTAAATAAATTGCAGGGCCCTGATGGCATCTTACCTATAGTTTTAAAAGAGATGAGGGATATTATTTGCCGACCTTTAACTTTAATATTCCAGAAATCGTTATCTGCGGGTGTGGTACCTTCTGATTGGAAGCATGCCAACATAACGCCCATATTCAAAAAAGGGGATAGAAGTAATCCAGCAAACTATAGGCCAATCAGTTTAACTAGCATTACTGGAAAAATAATGGAAGCTATAATTCAAGTGAAAATGGTAGATTACCTAG